ATGATGTTACTCGATCCTCAGCCTGCCAAGCGCTAGTTATTCCATCTCTTAACTCATGTACTTTGGCTAGATATTCCTGTTGGTTGATCATTCTGGCAGTCTCTTCTAGAGAAGTTTGTTCGCTGCCGGTTTTCTCCAAATGTGACAGAGAGGAGGAGGTCTCAACTGCTGATTCCATAAAGCAGAGTAAGAGCTGTTATGATATGCGAGTTCGGAAAACAATATACCATGCTGCTACAGGAAATAAATTAGTACTAGGCATCACGAAGACATACCTTTGGAACCTTTCATAATTATATTAGATATCTGTAGACAAACCAAGAATATATGATCAGTATTAATTAAACAAAAACAAAAACAAATATTAAGACTTTATGCATAGAATATACGTAACTGGAGAAAATGAAATCACTTTGGAGACAGGAAACCGCTGCATCAACATTCTTTTCAGAGATTTCCACTCCTTCATCAGATCCTGAGTTACAGCTTCAAGGGATATAGACGTATCTTCAACCTTCTCTTCTACAGAAACATCCACATCCACTCCCCTCAATGGATCAAAGAAGCCAAGATCGCTACTTCCGACAGTTTTAGCCTACAAAGTTTTTTAGATCAATTTGTCGTCATATACAGCATCAATCAGCTTCAAGAATTTTAACTCAACTAGATCAAAATATAAAATAACTTCTACTCAACAAGCTATGAACTTATGTGACCTTCACAAGATATATACACATACATACTCACAAGCTATGAACTTATGTGCCCTTCACAAGTTATATGCACATACATACAATTCCATCACTTAATTTGACCGCATAAGCTAAAATAACGCGAAATCTATTTAAGGGGAACTGATTCCTGAGTTGAGGAATCATTTCATTCATTACACTAAACTAAAACCAGTAAAACAAGTACACTAACAAGTAAACTAAATCTAGTGAAGATAAGTACACACTAACAAGTGAACAATAAAGCCAATAACTTGATAGTGTACAATCTTAGTTAACTAGCATTCCATATGTATCCACCAAACTTTAAAGTGATCGAAGAGAGAATCACAGAAATTGAGAACAACACTTGATTAACAGAGACTATCGGTACACGAAACCTTCAAATTCAGACCCAACAAGGCAAATCAGCGATGTATTGCAGTTCTCGATTAACCCAAAAGTAAAAATCCCTAAAATTTGTTTTCTCAAGCCCTAGAAAGTCGCAAAAGTCAAAGGAAGGCTCTAAGGAAGCGTATTGACAGACTTGTGGTTGACGAGAATCAAGTGTAGAGGAAAGAGGATGCTTATGAGTTCGTGAACGATGAAGGAGTTGAGATTCGTGCTTTGCTCCATAGTCGCGACGACGGAATTCGAACTCCATGCCTTTGTGAATTGTGTGTGATTCTGGTCGTCGGTCTGCGATTTTGTTTTTGAGACGCTCAAAACGGTAAAAGAAGACCTTTAACGGGTGCCGTTTTAATGAAAAGACTCAAATGAGATGTGAACCGAATCAAACCAAAGTTAATTTAAGGATTGGTCCAAAAATATCCATACTTACCGGATTTAATTGAAATGAAAAACCAATCTAAATTAGTATTACTGATATCGATTGGGTATATAAAGTATAAACTAAAGTGAGACTTAACTTACCGATCGAGCGCCGGAGAAATTTTTTTTTTTTTTTTAATCAACCGTCGCGGCAAAACGTAGATCGGAAGCAGATCTCTCGCCGGAAACTTCAAATCTCGGTTTGAGTCATCCATCTATCTCCGCCGTATTCATCTCGCCGGAAGAATATACCAAATGGTGAAAACACTGCAAGGAGCATCTCAGAATCTCCCGGCGGATGTTAACCATTTAATCGATCAGTTAGAGCGTCATTGCTTAGCTCCCGATGGATCTCTTGTCACCAAATCAGCTTACTACGATCTTCAACTCGTAAATCTCTCTCCCAATCTCTCTTACGACGATTGGATTTCAGATTTGTGTTTCCGTTTCCTCAATTCTCTGATTCGACATTGCAGGCTAGAGAGGAGATGTCTCGAGAGCGACTACGGTATTTAGAAGCTATGGTAATACTTATCTCTTCTTCTTATACCTTCAGGGATTTTCGAATTGTTTATCTGAAATTGAAGCTGATTACTCCAAATTAGGGTTTGAGATTTTTGTAGTTCATGCTCTATTAGCTTCAGATGAAATCTTAGGACTTGCTTTTCTTGTGGTAGGCTATTTATTGTGAAGCTGTAGCTATGGTAGAAGAATATCAGCAAGCTATATCAGTGGCTAACCATGGAGGAATTCGGGATGTTCAGGGACTTTATCCTCAGCTTGGCTTGAAGAATTCTCCTCAGGTTAACTAATCGAAATTCAGTTTTTTACGCGGTTTTTGTTATCTTTAGAGTCATTTATGAGTAAATTCGTTGATTTTTGGTTTTCAGGTTTATGAGACTCTAGAGCATAGGTTGGTGGTTGCTGAAGCAGCTCAGAAACTGAGGTTACCTCTTATTTCAGATGATGGTGAAATTCATGAGGAAGAAATTGAAAAGTGGAGTATACTATCTAGAAGCTCTCTTGATAGTGGAAGCACGAGTTTTACTATTAGCTCCACTTCTAACTCGGTGAACTATGCGAATAGCTCTGTAAATAGCGTTGCTGGTGGGACTAGTCTTAGTGCTGCTGATACTGACGTAGTTGGTGGTGTGCCGAATCGCTTTCTTGGAATCACACCTGCTTATTTATCCTATGTCCAGCTCCAAAATACTATGTCCATGGTAAAGTGAGATCATATTGTGCCTTGTATTTGTCTCTTCGTTATTATAGTGTGCCTGCATCTGTTGATTGCAAAATATTTATGCACCAATTCTTATGCTCTTTTGAGAGATTGGGATATGGATATCAGTGGGTCTCTAATATTTTTTTCTTCTTAATAACTTTCGTTAGGATATGGCTGACTACCAAATGTTTCTTGCCCGTGAGATAAAAGGTCGATTGAAGGAAAAGTGTGATAAGTTGGCTGATGCCATTGTGGATGACACTGGTAAGATTTATATTACAGCATACTCTGAGAAGAGGTCTTTAGTTCTTTACCCAAATTCGGTTGTTCCTCTGTCTAATTCGATACTTGGCCTTATTGTTAAGTTGCATTGGGCTTAATAACATATTTTCCTTATTCTCTTCATTGAATGACAGATTCGTCTACAGGAAATCAAAATTCAAGTGCTAGGCTCCCAGAAAGGTTAGCTTTATTGCTTTGGTTAAACTCTATGGCTACAACAATCTGGAAAAGAACACTTGATTACCTTGTATCTGTGGAATTTTCTGATGGTACTAATTAATCTGATTTATGATTTTAGTCAAGATTGATGGCAAAACTGGCCTTTTTAGGGATAGATATCTATGTAGGTAATGTGTATACATTGGTAGTTCTAAGCCAAGGAATACAAGTGAAAGCCTTTATTATGATGAAGGGATCGTAACCATAGAGAAAAAGTTATGTTGGTTATAGGGTTCTCATGTTTCTCTAAAACAAATTATCCGAAAGTCTTGAAGGAGCAGATGACTTTCTCACACTTAGACATCCTCTTATACTCTCTGGAGCCGATCTATAACAATAGTTTCTTACGTTTCCAGGGTTAAGTTTATAATTGAGGAAATTGAAAGAGAAGAAGCAGCTCTTCGAGAGGACCTCTACTCGGCTGACAGGAAGTTTGCAGAATATTATAATGTAAGTGAAAAGGCAAATCATAATGTATTATGCACAACGAAAGCCATATTTCCTTGCTGCTCCATGATATTTTTCTCAATATAAATTTTATAGATAAGTTTCTTCATGTATATCAATGGTTATCCTATGAATTACCCTTGTAACCGTTAATGCTTGCAAGTTCTGATGACTGTTCATTTTCATTCTGAACAAGGTCCTGGAACAAATACTCGGGGTGCTTATAAAGCTTGTGAAGGATCTGAAGTTAGAACACCAACACAAATATGTATGATGTTTCAGTATTTCCCAATTTATTCAATTGCTGCCTTTGTTCACATTTTCCTAAATCTAAATACTGTTACAGGATGATATGCAGAAGACTTGGTTGTGTAAAAGGTGTGAGACCATGAACGCAAAACTAAGGTATCATCACTCGTCCTTTACTGTTTTTAGGATCTTGATGTTTAATCAAGACCATGAGTTGCATTAATTAATATGTCTTATATTTCTCTGTTTGAAGGGTTTTAGAACATATTCTCCTCCTTGAGACATACACCCATGAATCCATACCGGCCTTGCACAGCATCAGGTGCGGAAATCGACTTTCCAGAAGTATATATTTCACACCATAAACCCACAAATCCGTCTCACCTCTAAGCCTTATTGTATTTTGCGTCCAGGAATTATCTAGTCGAGGCCACCGAGGAAGCTTCAGCTGCATACAACAAAGCGGTTTGTGTCTTTATCTTCTCTTTCATCGCTCAGCTTAAACCCTTCTTCTTCCTGATATAAATTATAACCGAGCTTGCGGAATAACCAGGTTACACGGCTCAGAGAATATCAAGGAGTGGATCCGCATTTTGATACAATTGCAAGACAGTACCATGACATTGTTAAGGTATATAATTATTATTACAGAAAAATGAACAAACCATTATTAATTATGTCACTTTTACCTTCTTCATTAACACAATAAATGATAACAATGTGAGCTTCAATTGTTTTGCAGAAACTGGAAAATATGCAATGGACCATTCATCAAGTGGAAATGGACCTCAAACCTAATCACTAGATTCTCTCACACTATTTTGTAATCTATTAGTACTATGGTTATGTCTTTCAAAACCAACATAACAAATGAGAGTCTACTGATTTATTTAAACTGTAACAAAAACAAACCCTTAAAAATGAAACCATTCCACAAAAAGGTCTCTCTGAATTTGTCTGAACAACAAATAATACAACAACTCTTGTCTTTATGTATTAGATACAATCATACAAACATAGAAAACAAATAAAATAAGTTAGAACAATCTTGGTTGCTGTGGATTCCCACTTCTCATCATAGCACAAAACTCTTCATAGTTGATTCTACCATCCTGTAACAAGACCAAAATTGAGATTAGAGAATGAAAACAAAATGACGTTTAAGGGAGAAGAGCCTTTTTTTTTTTTTTTTGGCTTTACATTATCAGCGTCCACATCAGACAAAATCTCTTTGATTGTAGCATCATCTCCCATTCCATACTCCTTCAACGCAGCCTCTAGCTCGTCTATCGTAATGTAACTATTAAAACACATTTCGAGCAAAAGTATAAGTAGTCGTTGCATAAAAAAGATTCATATCAAAAGTTTCAAAACAAGCAAAGAATCACTTACCCACTCCCATCTTTGTCAAAATGTTGAAATGCTTTGTGAAGGTTTTCATTACTTTCAAGCCTATGTCTATGCATTGTAGCAGTAATAAACTCGATGTAATCTATCGAACCGTTTCCATCAACATCAGCCTGAATCACAAAACCCCGAATATGAGTTCTTGTAAAAAACTTTTCAAGTAAACGAAAGATGTTGTCTTTTTGATTGAAACTTACAGCATCCATGAGCTGTTTCACTTCGGCTTCAGTGAGTTTTGATCCCAGTTTAGCTAATCCTTCTTTCAGTTCTTCATATGTGATTGTACCACTATTGTCTGTATCTATATTAGCAAACATCGCCTTTAAGCCTTGTATTTCTTCCGTGTCAATATTCTCCGCAATGACCTGTTTGGAAATCTATCAGTTAAAAAAGGCGAGGACTGTCGAGTTTAGCAACAAAGCGTAGAATCTTTGATCTAACCTTTAAAGCAAGTTTCTTTAGTTTATTCATAGCTCTAAATTGCTTCATCCTTGAGAGAACAGCACTATCAATAGGTTTATCCGATGCTTCTCCACCTTCTCTTAGCCATGGATGCTCTGCAAAAAGAGTGAAAAATACCATTTAAATTGTCAACATTCGAGCAAGAATGCAAGAAATTTTTTCTAACCAGTGAAGGAAAGCAATCCCTGAAAAAGCTCATTTACTTACGGAGAACTTCAGCAGCAGAAATCCGTCTTTTCGGATCTTGTGTCAACATTCTACGTACCAAATCCTTAGCACCATTCGAAATTGAAGGCCACGGTTGGGTTACAAAGTCGATTTCACCTTCCAATACAGCATCAAAAATCCCTTTCTCGGTTTCTACATTCCCAAAAAAGCCAACAAAACCATACTCATATACATCAGCACCTATATTCTTCTCAAACATAATCATGAATCGAGAAAACGATAACAACATCGCATTACCAGCCCAAAACGGAGGTACACCACTAAGTAGAATGTAGAGTATAGCTCCAACACTCCATATATCGATCTCTTTACCGTATCTTCGCCTCAAAAGTTCAGGAGCAACATAATATGCACTCCCAACTATATCCTTATACACTTTCCCTGCAAAACAAACCCATCATGAATCATTCAAACAACAAGCAATTCCAGACACATTTCATCAATTCAATACCTTCTTCGATGAAAACCGATAAACCGAAATCAGTAGCTTTGATAAGAGATTTCTCATCTTTGCTAGATAACAAGAAATTCTCAGGCTTTAAATCTCTATGCATCACACCCATAAAATGACAAATATTAACAACATTCACAATCTGTCTACAAACAGAAGCAGCTGCTCTTTCACTATAATGTCCTTTTGCAATAATCCTATCAAACAATTCACCACCAGCACAAAGCTCCATAACTAAATTCACAGACTTTTCATCTTCATAAGCTCCTTTAAACTCAACAATGTTTGCTTGTCCACTTAAATGTTGCATTATCTGAATCTCTCTCTTCATATCTTCTTTATCAGATTTCGTCACAAGTTTCTTCTTCGATATCGATTTACAAGCGAATCTCTTCCCTGTTGAATTCTCCGTGCAAAGATACGTTACCCCAAACTGACCTCGACCCAATTCTTTGCTTAGTGTGTAGAAATGTTTCACATCTTCGTAAGGCTTCTCGAGTATAGTAGTACTGTGTTGTTTAGTCGGTGCCGGATTCCTCCACGGTGGTGGTTGATGAGTTCCGGTGGGTTTTTCCGATGGATCTTGGTGAGTACTTGTTCCTCTGTTCTCGATCTCTACTGATCTTTCTCCATATTTCTTAGCTAAGCAATTCCCCATAGCTACTAAGCTCAAAAACTCACTACCCAGAGACTTAAAGATCGGAACTTTAGCAGAGAATCAAGAACATGAAACAGAGAAATAAGCAAAGGTTTGATCTTTATAGTAAAAACATCAAATTTTCAGGAACTGAAGAGAAAGGCTTTGTTACATCATCAAGAAAATGATTTGAGATTCAAGAGATTAGAGTAAATGATTGATTTATATAGAAGAAAGATGTTGAATTTGCAGAAGAATCATGAAAAGCATGAAAAATTGGAGAGAAGAAGAAGTAGAGCAAAAAGTTGTGGAAGATGCTTAAAGGTTGGCTTTTTAGGCAGCTGTGGAATTAGTTGGGAGTGGAGAGAAATTAAAATTGAATTTTTTTTATAAGACAAGTCAACTCTTTCTCCTTTGACTCCATTCGATTTTTTTTTTTGCAATTGTTCCATGTGAAACAACATTGGTTAGACAGTGAAAAAAAATATACTGTCTAACCGTGTATACGTGTTTGTCTAGTCCGCATTTTAGAACACTGTCAGATAATAATCGATCATAATAAAATGGTTATTTGCTTTGATCCACATTGAGAAAACAGTTCATAATAACTTTACTCTATAGAGTTTATGAGGGCATGTACATTGGTTGTGTTCTCAAATGGTGTTCTCATAACTTTTTAGTATTAAATTAATGATAAAGTTACTTAAGAACACTTTAAT